GGTTCTCAACTGTGTCCTCAGTCTTTCCTCTTATGGGCTCACTGCAGCTCCAAAAATAGCATGCAGCTACTTTGCAGCAAGTCTTATCCCTGTAGTCACCAGGAGTGGCCCCAGCTGCATGTTATGGCTGTGTCTGGACTCACATTGTCCCAGTATGCTGGCCACTGGATGGGGACAGGGACAGTGACATGGGTACGTAGGGACAGGAAGGGGCACCTGCCTAGGACATGCTGCGGGCACAGCCCTACCTCATTTCTCCAAAGAGGGTGGTGGGCTGGGCAGGAGTCTCCTGCCGTTGGCACAGGGCTCCTGGACTGCCTGTGGTTCCTGGCTGCCCTGTCCCAACACCCACCCTGGTTGAAGTTTCCAGAGTGGCTGAGCACAGGTGTCCATGCTGCTGGTGCTGGTCATGTTTAGCTCTCTGGATAGCAGTGAAAGAAAGCTGGAAGAGATTAATCTGAAAGCCTCCTAGGACATGTTCTAGGGCATCCCAGAGGGAGGTCAACCTTGTGATTTATTTATAGGGGATTCCAGGACTAAATCCTGGAATAAATTCCTTCTTCAGCTGCGTATGTAGAGGTGTTCTGCAGGCATGGTCTAGTTTGGTCTCCTGGGGACAGTGAGAAGGGCAAGGGAAGGAGTGGGACAGCCCCTAAACTGAAGTGGCAAGCTCTGCAGGGATGCATTGCAAGCACTTGCCATGCTCTCACCTGTGTACGGGGTAAGCGAAATGCCAGAGAGATGGTCTGAGATAGTGAATACCCCCCTATGAACCTGGCCTGGGCTTGGGTTTGCTCAGAGAAGCACTACAGTGTGAGCGGGTGCCATGCCTTTCGCGCCAGCTGCCTCTGCGGAGCTGCAGGCAGCACTTGGCTGCCTCTGCTGCAATGCAGAGCGAGAGGGCTGGGGGGTAAAGCCTGAGCACAGAAGCAGGAGCAGGCATGCCCTCACTGCATCAAGTGGGATGCTCCCTGCCCTGGCTCCTCGGCTCCCAGCCTAGGTCCCTGTCCTAGGGTTTTGAGCACCTCCTGAAATGCACAGGCGGAGCATTTGGCACTGGGGTTCTGTGCCTATTGGTATTTCTGGGAACTGCGATTTACTTGCCCTGGCTATTAGCATGGAAATGCAATGTGGCAGTGGAAGCCAAGAGCAGAGACCTGCCTCAGAGGAGAGCTGTAGGAGCAGTGAGCAATGCTATGCAGCTGCAGGCTTTTGGGAAGAGCGAAGGATTCCCCGCTGGGGACCTGGTGCTCAGGTGGCTCTCCTTGGACACTGTTTCTCTGCATCGCCCTCTTACCACCTTGATGGCCTGGAGCCCAGGCCAGATCCCAGTGGAGAGTTGGCTGATGGGCTGTGCTGGGCTAGGAGAACAGACAGGACAAGTCATAGCAAACTGCTTCAAAATGCAATGCCTTCCAAGACTCACCAGGTGCACAGTGGTCTGGTGTCAGCAGGCAACACAGGCTGGAAAACAGCTGGCAAGCAGCAATTGGGAGTCAATGGTGGAGCAAGAAAGGGGCTGGCAGAGATAGCAAGTGTCCCTACATGTGCAGCCCCATGGACAATGGTCAGCTTGCAGCAGAGGCCTCTGGTGTTGGCTCTGATGCTAGCATGACCACTTCCCCTCCTGGCAGCCCTGACATCTGGAGAAACACCTCCAAAGCAGACAGGGTGCTAATTTCCTCTCCTTTATCTGCCAGCTCACAAAGTTAAGTGAACTATAGCTAAACAAACCAAATTAAAACCAAGTGGGTTAATATCAACCTAGGATTACCCCTGTTATCAAGTAGACAGAACTGTATCAAATAAACCAACAATTCTTTATAAGCTTTATCTAATTATCCAGGAGGCAGCTGCCTTGTGCAGCTCCTGGCCTCAGGCTCGGAGGGCATACCTGGCTGCAAGCAATTTGTTTACTGATATTGCAGCCAAATGCCAGTCACCCATCAGAGGGTCCAAGCCCTGCCAGGCTGGAGGGGTACTGAGACGAGCTCTGATCCTGGATGTAGTGCTGGAGGAGATGGCTGGGCAGATAGGAGATCCTTTGGCAAGAAAAGGTATGATGCTGAGGCAGTTGCTGGTCTTCTGGTAGGAGCTGGTTAAAGGGAAGAGCCTTCCCAAAGGGTTACTCTTTCTACAGGATAATGGTTGTGATGGAGATGGTCTCATGGCTCAGCTGGCATGCACTGGAGGAGATGAACCTTGAGGAGATGCTTACTGTGCAGCCTTTGGGAGGATGCTGTCCATGGCCATGTAGTAGCCTGCCATGGAACAGGGTGGGACAGGACAGGCTGGAGCTATCAGCAGCCACAAGGCTCAATTTCCTCTCTGCGGGGGAAACTGGAATCTACTTCATACCCTCAGATTCTACTTTCTCCTCCTCCCTTTGCTCCTTCCCCATTGAGAAACTGCAGATCCTTTCCCTTCATACTGTCCCCATGCAAAGGAGCCAGGGCCCTTCAGGGAAGCTAACAGCAGGTCTGAGGCTGGAGATATTTGTTGTCCAGGTCCATGTTGACCTGCTGCTGTGGGTGGCTGACGGTCAGGTGGACCTCAAAGCCGTGTTGGTTTGGGCTCACCTCATCTTGTCTGCAGGCCAAATCTTGAAGAAGTCATGATGGAGAGCAGTGGTGATGGAAAACAGTAGCTGCTGAAGGGTGTACGGTCAGAGGAGGTCACAGATTAGGTGGCCAGCCACACCTGTGCAGGCTGGGCTTTGGACCAGTGGTGGCTTGAACTGTACAACACCACAGAAGGGTTTGAGGGCTGGGTTTTCTGTCAGCACTTGGGCAGGACACAGGGTGAGTTTCCAGGGTCTGTACAAGGTTTGTAACGGATGCCACTGGACTGAGCCCGAATTAGAGACACTGAAATGGAGACACTGGGGCTGGCAGAGAGACAGTGTTCCAGCGGTCGGTTCCCTGAGTTGGTAGTCTTCTGGGATATATCCCATTTGGATTTATTTGGCTTTTGGGCAATCTTTCTAGTCTTCTTTTCCCTGCTAGACCAAGCAGTCCTCAGCATCTTACCTGAGGAAGAGCGAGTCCCTTGAGGGGTGTTGCTAAAGCAAGCTGCCTTCCAGGCTCTGATGCTGCACAGACTGAACTCTCACTGTTTTTGGGGTCGAGACTCATTTCTGTGTGTCCACTCTTCGCACATCTGTTTTTAGTCTGGCCATGTATGACCTTACAGGAGGAGGCACAGAGGAGTCTTCTGGGGTGGTGTGATGGATTTCTGTGCTTCCCAGGGCAGGATCCAGTGCCCTAAGAGCTAACTCCTGAGCTCTCTGCTTTGAGGTGGGAAATTCAGGCTGGGAATATATTTATTCACCCCTGACAAAACAGCCTCCAGCTCCAGAAAGCACCAAAGTCCTGAATTACTGGATGCTGGGATGTGAGCACACCCTCTTTCCTCCTCTTTCCCCAAAGCATCCTCTACAGACCATGCCCAGAAAGGACCTGCTCAGAGAGACCCTTCCCTGACCTGGTACAGTCAGACTGCACAGTGCAGCCTCTGCTGCAGGAAGGGACAGAGGCATGGGGTGTCCCAGGGCACCCCCCTGTATCTGTCAGAAAAGGGGACTTGCTGAGTGCCAGAGTCCTCAGATGCTGCCTGGAGCTGTTTTGTGTTGTGCTCCCCACCCAGAGCTGACTGAAAGTCTCCTCTGTTTTTTTCTGATGCATCTCTGGCCTTTCTATCCCTGAGGAGCATTAGTGTGGCCTGCCTCATCCCTGCAGATGCTGGTCCCCATGGCACCTCCTTTCCTTAGCTGAAGGGAGTCTTCTCAGGTGCATTTGGTCTCGTGTCTCCACTGATGATTTGTACAGCCAGAGCATCCACAGCCAGAGCCCAGATGGCAGCCAAGCTCTGCAGAGCTGAGCCATCTTTCATCTGACATTCCTATTTGTCCCAGAAATCCTTTGAGCCTCTCATTTGGTTTTACCCTTGACTATGTTTTGTGTGCAAAATAACACACTGTGCATGTGTCTGAGCCATCAGCACAGCGTGCCTCTATTCAACCCCTAGTTCAAGTGGCTGGTGGCTGCAGGGTGGGTCCCATGGGCTGTCTCTCCTGGCACTGTGGGCATGAGAGAGGTTGTATCCATCCCCAGTCCCATGAGGAGTTTGCAGAGTCCCAGCCCAGCCTGGGCTCTGACTGTTTGACTCGTCCCACCCAGCATCCAGGTACTTGGGATCAAACCCGGATCGCGATCAGTTAATGCCCCCTTCATAAATTCCTGCCTCGTGCGTCACTGCTGTTTGTGAAGGGCTCAGTGGACACCTTAGGAGATGGGAAGTTTGGGATCAAAGCTGGAATCTGAGTGAGATAACATGGATGATGCCCCATGCCCTGCAAAGCGGGCAAACCAGAGTGACCCTCACTGAGCAGGGCACGTCTCTGGGGCCACAATACTCAGTCTCACTCCCCAAAACGTGCTGTTGGGGACTTGCCAAGGACCTTTCCCGTTATTGCCCCCCACCACTACTCCAGCACTCTATTCCCAGCTGCAAACCTCTGGGTTTGATTGCTGCTGCAGTGCTGGGAGAAGCAGTAAAAGCTGAATCCCGGAGGGACAATAAAGCCAGCAGAGAGGAGATAAGCAGGGATCAAACACGGCGCAGCAGCCACCCCAAGCTGGACTCTCAAAGGTCCCTTTGTTCCCACTGTCTCCTGATTCAGTGCCGCGCTGCCTTCAAGGGCTGCGGGTGAGATAGCGGGGCTCAGGGGCAGCAGCCCTTGGCAGTTGGGCAGCCACCTGCACGGCCCAGCAATAAAAAGGGAGAATTAATTTCAGTCACAGGACTGAGCCCAGTTGCACACCGAGGCCTGATAACATATCTAGCTGGTTGCTATCAGCCAGGCAATAAGGCCATTATTGGGGCGGGAGGTGGTGGAAGAGACGCTCGCCTTCCTCCTCATCCCGGGCTTGCCAAGGGGATGTTCCCTGCAGCCCCCAGCCCCGCTATCCCCTGATCCCAGCCCGTTGTCTGCTCCGCAGCTGCTCCGCAGTCTGGCTTGATGGGGAAGTGCCGTCGGCCCCGCACAGCCTTCACCAGCCAGCAGCTCCTGGAGCTAGAGAACCAGTTCAAGCTCAACAAGTACCTGTCCAGACCCAAGCGCTTCGAGGTGGCCACATCGCTGATGCTCACTGAGACGCAGGTACCTTGGTCCTGGGGGGATGGAGGTTGCCTCTGGCCAGCTGCTGGGGTGGTGGGGGGCTGTGCTGTGGAGTGGGAGTTCAAGGTCATGGGCAATGCTGATGCTTCTTACTTGGCTGCCATTAGCCCCACTAGCACTCCTTCCCAGGGCATCTTCTGCAGAGCCTGATGGGCTCCAGGCTCTTTGCTTGTGAAGGGCACCCCAGAAATACTGCTCCTCTTTTTACCCAGCACGCCCAACTTGGATTTCAGAGCCTTCCCGTCCCTCACCGTGCTGTGGGAGGGGGGTTTTGCAGGGCTGAAATGAAAATGTCCCCAGGCATGTCCTTGGGCATCCTGTGGAGGCTGAGCAGAGGAAAGGGAGAAGCCCTCTGGGTGCTCCTCTCCCTGTGATACCCTCAGCCTCCTTGCACAGGTCCACAGGCTGCCATGAAAAGGCTTTGAGGGGACCCTCGATGCAGGGAAGGCAAGGGGGGGAGTGGGGACAGGATGAGGCAGGGGACGTGTTCTCTCCTGGGGTTCTCCCTTGGCAGGTGAAGATCTGGTTCCAAAACCGACGCATGAAGTGGAAGCGGAGCCGCAAAGCCAAGGAGCAGGGGGCTCAGGTGGAGGCTGAGAAGCAACGAGGGCTCAGCAAAGCCTGTGAGAAGCTGCTGCCCAGCGAGCCCCGGGGACAGGCTTCTGAGAGCCCCGAGTTCATGGGGCACAGCCCCGGCTCGGGCTTCCTGCACCACAACACCACTGAACTGGGCTACAGCCTGGACTCCTCCTGCTCAGGGGGTGAGGAGGAAGAGGAAGAAGAGGATGAGATGGGTGCCACGGAGAGGAAGATCGGCTCTGTGTTGTGAAAGGCAGCTGGAGTTGGCTGAGGAGAGGGGCCCGGCTGTGGGGCCAGAGGCCTCTTTGCTGGCAGACACAGACTGTGCCTGGGCAGAGCTGGGGGGCTGCAGGGCACCTGCCCTCCTTTAACTTATGTGTGTTTGGATCCTATTTAACTCGTAATTATTCCTCTGTGTGTATCTGGGGGAGTCCCCACATCCCTCCCATATAAAGCTGTTATCCAGATGCCTGTGCTCTTCCTTAGGGGATGGGAGGGTCTGCCCTTCTGCCACCACACTGCCCTGCCAGGATCCCTGGGGAGCTGGGGGGGGACAGCACACTCACACAGCTGGAGGGGACAGACCCCAGACCTTTGACTGTGCACTGCCCCTTCCCTGCAGATATGGCAGTGCCTGGAGCAAGTGCATTGCTGAGCCCTGCATGGTCCTGACTGCTCTTCCTCCTGGTGGCATGAAGGACTGGGAAGAACGATGCCCAGAAGGTGTGCCTGCCTCCATCCTGCATCCCTGGTGGGGTTTGTGCTTTGCTGGGCAAAATTAAGCTGCCTTGAGAAGCAGCACTGATTAATTGGCTAATGCAGTGGTGCTGTTTTCCATGCTGCAATCAGCCCAGTTGCACTGGTGTGGCATTGCCTTGAAGTGAGGTGGAGGTGGAGCCCCTTCTGGGTTTAGGGTGGTGCTCAGGCTGTTTGTGAGGGCTCAATGCTGTGGTGAGCCCCAGTTTTTTCCATGGTGATATCTAAACCCCATTCAGCCCCTTTTTGGGCTCATTCCATGATTCTCTTGGGGCTCTGCTTGCTCTGGCTGGGCTCAAATCAACCCCTGGTAGCAGGATGACAATTGACACCCTCTGTGACCTACCCTAGAAGCACTAAATTCAAGAACTGACCTCCTAAAGTGTACAGGCTTCCCTTGTCCTCCGGATCCTGGAGGGTCCTGGCAGACCCTATAGACCTTCCATGCCTCCTTTGCACTTTCTGGGCCTCCTCTTGGGGATGCTGAGATGGCCGTGCAGGCAGAGAGACCAATCCTGCAATGTCCAGCCCCTCGTGCTCCCCAGCCCATGGGGCAGCCCAGCTTCACCACCCCAGTGGATGTAGGGCTTCAGCAGTGGGATGCCCCATCCCTCAGCAGCCCTTGGTGTCTCCCTCCTGCCCCACATCTTGCTGTCCCCTCCTCTCTTCTCCTTGTCCCTGCCTGGGGGTGACAGGGAGGACTGTCTGGCTGTCCCCGGGATCTGCCTGTGGTGGGTCACCTCCAGCAGCTGGTCAGCGAGAGATGGAACAGGTAAGCGTCGGTGCAGGGCTGGATTACGCGTGGCAGCAGCTGGGGCTGCCATGGGGCTGGGCGTTAGCAGCCCGGGCAGGGGGACAGAGGGATGGCCAGGGAAAGCAGGCGATGGGGGAGAAGAGCGTGGAAATGGACATGTGGACTGACGGACGGATGGATGGGCAGACGGACGATGGTTCTCTATAAGGTGACAGTGACCCGCAGTGGCTGCGTGCAGCTCAGCAGCTTCTCCCTGGCTGTCATCCCCAGGCAACCCAGCCCAGGGCACGGCAGGGCTCTGCTGCCCACGCAGGAGATGTCCGGATCCCTTGCACTTCCCGGGAGGGAGCTCTGGTCCTGCGGAGGATGTGAGGGCAGCCCTTGCTCCAAGGGGGGAGATACGAGGCAGGGTAGAGTCCAGGTGTCAGGAGACTCTGATGGTTGGTGTTACATGGAGCAGGAGAGGAATAAATGTGGGGAATGAGGAAAAAAGACAGAGAAGGAAATGAGAAGGGGAGGTGAAATTAGGAAAGGATGGTACCCAATTCCCTGCCATTGCCCTGGGGAGGACAGGAAACACCCACTGCCCCAGGGGAGCTGTGCCTCCACCTCCAGCAGTCACACAGGAATGCGCAGAGGTGCTGTCAAATGCCAGCAGATGCCGGGACTTGGCTGCAGAGCTTCAGGGCCAAAGACAACTACCACCTGATGTACAACCTGCTCCTCTGGCAGTGGGGGAGCACAGACAGGACCACAGGCTGGTGCTGGGCACATCAGACTGGGAGTGAGGTGGGGGAGACAGGGATGGCAGGGACAGAGAGTAAAAGCAGAGAAGGAAAGCAGGGAAAAAAAGAGTGCCAGAAAGGAGGAGGGGAGTGAAGGGGTGCCACAGATTTAAAACATTCACCTTGATGGGCTGTGACAGGTTTAATTTCCAGAGTACAACCGTTAAAGTGATGGATGGGAGGTGTTCATCTCGCACCTAGCACACACGGGCCCATTGTGGCTGCAAAGGGTTTGTTTTGTTGCTGTTATTTATGGGTTTGTTTCTGCAGGAGCCAGGCACTCGTCCAGGGCTGGGGGACAGAGGAGGGGATTGATGCCGGAGAGGCAGAGTGCTGATTTACGACTGCTTAGCGGGATGACTCATGTTGTAAACATCGACAAATGCCATTAAAGCTGCATCTCCTTCCTGCCTCTGCCCTGGCACCCTCACCATGCTGCAGGATGCCGCCAGCCCTGCTCTCCACCACACCGCTACCTGTGCACTCCAGAGGGGTGTCTGGCCCTCCCCACCGGGGACACAAGGGTTCTTCCTTCTCTGAGGGGCATCCAGGCTGCTGGAAAGATGCAGAAGTAACCCACAGTGGTGGTGATGCTCCGTGGGAATGACATCTGGGATACCCGATGTTCTTGTGCAGCCAGGCCTCACCCAGTCTGTGCCCTTATGCCCCTTTTCTGGTCTCGGTCCCATAACTTCTTTTGGCAATGCTCACAACTTGTTATTTGTGTCACTGATGCTTCAAGGAGCTCAGGGTGACCTGAGCCCCATAAGGGTGCCACCTGATCCCTATGCCAGCACTCTCCAGCCTTTTGCACCCCATGCCCCCTCACCCCCCACCTGGTGGGCATCGCCACCTCTTAGCCTCACAGCCGCCTCACCCACCCATCCTGCACACCCAGGTACTTCACAACATCCCCTCTGCCCCCTCAGATTTGTGCCTGTCTCCCTCCCCTGCACCCATCCTCAGCACCCCTCTCCGCTGAGCTCTCTCCTGCTCCCTTCCACCGGTTCCCTGCATCCCTTCGTTTGCCATCTGCCCTCCTTTGTCTCCCACCTGCCCTCCTCTCTTTCCCCAGTCTCCCCCTGGTCCCCATCTACTCCTGCACTGCTTCCTGCCCCCCGCTGTCTGTCCTCTGCACTCCTCCACCTTGTCCCTGCATCCCCTATGTGCCCTCCACATCCCTCCATCTGGCCTCTGCACTCCGACAACGCCTCGCCTGCCTCCTGCACCTCTCCATCTGCATTCTGAGCCCCTCCATCTGCCCCCTGAACTCCTCAACCCGCCTCCCTACGCCCCTTGCCACCCCCCATCTGCCTCCCGCCCTCTCCCTGCCCTCGGCCCCCTCCATCTCCTCCGCTCTGCACGTACCTCTGCCGCCCCCTGGCGGCCATAATCGGTAGCCTACGCCGTACCCTGCATGAGGATTGACCCGCGGCGACCGCCGTCGTTGCCCCGGGAGACACAGCCGCCGCGTCTAGTTTCGATGGCAACGCGGGCCGGGGCGAGTTTGTGCCGGCCGGGACCTAAGGTGGCCTCTGGGCTCTGAGGTTCCGGGCTATGCTACAGGGAGTCAGGCAGGGCTTGAGGTAGCCGGGCTGGCCGTGTGGGTCCCGGGGTGGGAGGCGGTGGCACCGGAGCCCGTTGGTGGCATAAGCCCAGGCTCTGCACCAGGGCCAGTCTGGGTTATAAAGGACTGGGCCATGCCCCAGGACGCTGGGACGACTCTTGCCGTGGGGCACAGGGCCGTGCCATAGGCAACTATACAGGGTTTTAGAGGGCCAAGCAAGGCTACAGGACTGGGCTTTGCTATACTGGGCTCTACGGGGCTATAGTGGGCCAGGCAGGGCTGTGCTATAAGGGCCCCAGGAGAGTTCTGCCACAGGGAGCTGAGCAGCAAGTGGTGGGGTCATGGTCTGTGCCAAGGGGGCTACTGAGCACATGGTTGTGGCAGCCTGGGGACAAAATGGTCTTTGGAGAGGGCTGGACTTAGCTGGCAAATGGGAACATTACTGGGGCACCAGCAGCGTGGTGTGCCACCCTGAGCCCGAGGACTAGTCGTCGTTTCTCTGGGAGAGCCCAGGTCTGGGCAGAAAAGACTGTCTGGATGCAGAAGCAGTGCACATGAGGACTTTTCCCACTTGCTTTTCAGATGCTTGCTCAGGTGGTTGGCGAGCCCCAAAACTCTGACTCTTCTCGGAAGCTGAGCTGTGGTTGTGACAGGAAGGTGAGTGGTGGTCCAAAGGGTGCCACTGTCATGCGTGGATTTACTGGCAGGGCAGAGAGAGGAGAAACCCAAAAACCCCTTTAGCCTTTGCTTCTTTCGTTCATGACATCCTTTAGTATCTGTTATTTGGGATGTGGCCGGGAGGTGTCCCCTCTGGACTCACGGAGCACGGCTTTTGGTGAGTCCTGGAGCTTTGCCACAGGGTGGCTCCTCCAGTCCTTTGCCTAAATCAGAAACTTAGCATAAAGAAGTAGCTGGTTGATTTCTCCTCCCTCCTTCACAAACTGCTAAGATCTCTGTTGCCACTTCCTAAGCTGTCTGCAAAAAAGGCAAAGAAGAAAGGCATATTCTGGGGCATCGAGGTGACCAAAACACTCAGATGGCATGGCTGGGAAACTGGAAAAGAGATGATCAAACATCTGATCTTGAAAAACGTTCATGAGAGAACCCAGAAGCTGAGCTACAGGTGTGTGCGAAGTTTATTTCTCCTTCATAGTCCTCACGCTCTCACTGCATCTTCATCCCTTCTGCTGTAGCAGTCACGTTTTTCACCTTTCCTTGGATTCATCTGCCCCCTCTCCCCTTGGGCTATGTGCTGGGGCCAGTGCATGCACACTTACGAAGCAGGACAGAAACCTGCTAATTCAGACACACAACCCTTGTTTCTGTCAGGAGTATTTAAAATGAAATGCCTTTTTAAAATTCTGTTTTGCTGATACTTCTGTCTGTGAGGCATTTCCAGTCTAGTGAGATTTTAATTGTGGATGTATGCCAGCCAGTCACTACTGTGTCCTAAAACCATTGCTCCCAGGAGTCCCACTGGATGTTGAGCCACTCCAGCACTCCCTGTGACCCTCTCTGCTCTGAAACTCAAATGTTTCTGCCCAATGTGTTTTGCTCATGCTACATGGCCTGGGAATGCCATGTTAAAGGAAGGTGTAGATACTTGGATCTGGGAATGGGTTTTCAGGACATCTGGGTTCTACCCCTGTTTCTGCTGATTTGCTACCAAGGTACCCTTGGGATCAGGTGTGTAAAGTGCTTCTAGCTGTGGGGTCTGGAGTTTTTGATTCTGTATTCTCTTTTCTGCTGACTAACTTAACAACGTCCCTATGCCCTCAGATAAAATCTCTTGTTTTGTTTTCATTATCTAGATGTCCTTCCACAGGATTCTTCTTCACCGTTTTTCCACAGCCGATTGTTCTGAGCCCTGGTATATCCTTAACTCTGCCCATCGTTTTCCGTCCCACTGAAAAGGTAAAGTGGCAACCTCAAAACTGCTCTCAGCACTCAGCCTGGCTTCCAGGGAGTCAGTGGGCCTCTGCCTCTGTTGTCCTTTCTAATCTGTTTTCACTTGAATGAATGTCCCTAGGGAAGGTTCTGATGTAGAAACAGTGGGCTGTGTGACCTTTCCTGTTCTCCCCACATCTTCAGCAGCTGAGGGAGCCCTAGCCCCTGGCTTCTCTGCAGAGTTTGCCAGTAGTTATGAGAGGGATCCTCATAAAAAGAATTTCCAGTTTTTCACGCGCTGCTTTTGACCACAAAATCAGTAAGATAAAGTGCTTGAACTGTCCATACCTGGTTTGATCCCAAGGAGCCTCAGCTGAGTGGTTTTAGTGCAGAACATTGGGTTGAGGGCCTCACACTCTGCTTTATTACAGGAGATCTCAAAGCCCATATTGAAGGGCTAGTGATTTTCCATAAGGGGTATGTCAAGGGCCTCCCTTCTTTTGGATGGAGTGGGTTTCTCTAAACTTTATTCTTAACAGCAATGATTCTTTTTACCCAGCTACTTTTCTTGATTTTCAGATTGTTTCTGGCATCTGCCTTGGCTCTGAGTGTTGATCTCTGGCTCTTGTCCACAGCTATATGTCTTTGATGTGTACCTCAGTCCTAGCCAGAGAGAGTGATCACTGGGTGGATTCCCAGTACTCTGCTCTCTTAGTACCGTGATTTTCTGATGACTGTTCAGTGTTCCCTTTATGAAATAAGCTGCTGACCTTGTTCCATTTTCGGTGAATAGTTTTCCTGCATCACATCAACCACAAAAGCAGGAGGCTCCCTTTCCTGGAGAGAGCAAGGGCTGTGTGTGCTGCAGTGCCCAAGGTCTCTCCTTACCTGTGTAAGTGATGCTCAGGAGAGGTGATGACTGGGCAGCATGGAAGATGCATATCTTGCATTTCCTTCTGTCTTAGCGAGCTTGCAGATGTCCTGGGGCTATTTGTACACAGTGCTGTCAAAGCTGCATCTTTAAGTAGTGTGTTATCTGCTTAGGTCTCTGGCTGACAAAGCATTTAATCAAAGACTAGTATTTCTGTGCTCATGGAGCTCAGAGAGAGATTGTACATACTTTACTCGAGCTGAATTGCAATCTAGAAAACACTAAAAGAAATCCATATGCATGGAAACAAATCAGGTAAAACAAATGTGGTCTTAAACTGCCCTCTCTGAGGGTGTTTCCTGACAGAGGGAGGAGGAATATGCCTGAGTACCTCACTCACTACCTTCCTTTTTGAATGCTTCATCGACTCTCTGTCCTGCACAGAGACCTCCTTTGGTGCCTCTATCACTGATTTTTATTTCCAACACTCTCACAGAGGTGAATGTGATGGGTGTTCATGGGTGGAGCTGCAGTACCTGCAAGATGGAGCCTATCTAACTGCTGTCTCCCCTCACTTCTCTGTGCAGAGGGAGTATGAAGACAGCATCCGCTTTAAGAAGGCTGAAGGCGAGTTCTCTGTCACCCTCCGTGCTACACTTCCATGTCCCTGTCTGTCCTTCCCAGCTACTGTCCAGTTGCCCACCTGTGCTGTCAACAATGTCACGGAGAGAGCATTCTCTCTGCGCAATATTGGGTGAGTGAGATGTGGCAAGGCAGACCCTCCTTCTGCTCTGTCAGGTATTTTGGCACCTTCTTGGACTCTCATTTCAGTTGTTATTAGATCTGCAGACAGCAGACCTCTGCCTTTTCTGAGGTCACAGCAGAAAAAGCAGCAGGCATGGGAGTATG